TGAAATGGGAGCTTGGAACACCAACTCTCTCAATCTCATTTCTTGCGTTCACAGTAGCACGCTCTGGTAGAATCTCATAGTAAAATACCTGATTCAGCATACGTCCGTTAGTAAGCTTGCGATCTCCTGTGTGGATCTTCACACCTCCTTTTTATCCTGAGCAATAATGAAGTCTGTTGAAGTTGTCGTTCGCTTTCAGTCGAGGAGCTTCTGACACCCACGGGCTCGCACTCAAGCTCCTGCTGAGCCAAGGAGTGGGCGATATTTGCAAAGTCCTGTCTTAGGCAACTTTTGCGTAGAACGTCATGAGTGATGCATTTGGGAGTGGAGATCTTCGCTCCAATTCCTGAGTTTTTGAAGGCTCCGACGGGATGCCAGAGCAGTGTCGGCGGTTGAGAACAGTGGACGTTCGCATCGACAAACTCAGTCGAAGCAAATCTCTTCTCAAAGGAAGCGATGGCACCATTTATGGTAGGTGGCAAGAGAGGGTCACTGCCGCCAATCGGTCACCATATCTCAGTCCAAGCCTGAGTGTCGAAGCGATTACTTTCGTAATGGAGAAGCAGAAGGCTTCGATGATCGTATCGATGGCACATCGTTCGGCCAACGATTACTTCCTTCGAATGATATCTATTAGTTACAGTATCGATCTATCAACAATGCCCCTTTCCCTGCTATCGATTCTTTAGTCCGTCCTCAGCGCGTTGGCCAGCAACATGCTACCAAAGTCGTGAGGCAAAATTTTCTCCAAACTTTTCGGACACNGACACGCTAATAATACCTGCTGTGACGGAAAGAGCCAACGAAAAGCGCGAAAATGCGTGAAATTGGTTGACGAAACTTGGCAGCTATTGGAATGTCCTATATGTGCTTATAGAAAGGATGATACAATGAGAATCAAATTCGAGCAATAACAAGGAAGAAATGAAAAAGAAAAAAAGAATGCTAACTTGTAGGCTGCAGTCTCCTCTTCGGACATGGAGTGCAATTCCTCAACTTGTACCCCCTCGACACCAAATCCACGCAGCATCTCTGTAAACACGCCTGGGTCGGATTCAATCAGCGTCCAAACGCCTTCGTCCGACATCTGGAAATGAGAGTTTTTAAAACAACTCGAAACAGCAGAAATAGTTTCACAGAGTTCATTGGAGAAGAGAGCTCATTGAGCCACAGACAACACATTACGAGGTGCTTCTTTGTCAAAACTGCCAAAGCACGAATAGAATTTAATGGCATATACAGAAAGAATGGTAACGAGCCACTCGAGAAGTTGTAAATAACTATGCAATTTAATGAATAGGATATGAACGGGATCTAATCCAAGGTGTTCACCGAGGATGATTTCGAACCGACGCGTAAACAGTGCAGATTGTGCAGCTGCAGACTCTTAGCAGATTAGGCGTTTTAAATAGTGCTAGTGGGGTTACGAGGGGGGAGGGGAGGGGGGAGGGGAGATGGTTTACAGGGACGGAAATTCAGTAAGGGCACTCTTGCAGTATCCCCTCGATCCCACCGCAGGTGGACGGTATACGCGTGCAATTTGAACTGCGCGCGGCTAATTGCGCGGCGAAATTTATGGCCATTTTGATAATTTTAGTGCCTGTTACTGTGGCTAAATTTGAAGTAGAGTAGATAAATAGGTTAGATCACCCGACTTAATAATTCTTCAACAGTTTTGTGTCCCAATAATTGGCGGTAGACCCGTTTGAATCGCCACGAATTTCGCCGCGCAATTTGCCGCGCTCAGTTCGAATCGCATGAATGTACTCTCATTTCCCATCACCCACTCCCGGGGTGCCGGAACTTCTCCGCAAACTCCCACGGCTAGCGACAAAGGTCGCGCGGCGGTTACCCTATCCTCGCACTGGGAATCAAACCTTTCTCTTCGAAGCGCGCGACTGCGCACGATCAGGTGTGGCGAACCATTTTCGAGGGGAAGGTACCGGACCCCCCGACCCTTGTCCCCCGTCTCCATGTCCGAGGCCCCTTTCGACACGTCGTTCAAGTGACGGATGAGAATTAGCGTGTTAAAATGGTGTTATGCCGTGCCGGATACTGTAAGAGCGTAGTGCCGTACTGAATTTTCATTTCTTTGGATGGTTTATGGTCAGATGAATATATTAGCGAAATTAGTTTAGCAATAGCATACAGATGGATAACCCAGATTACAGTGTCATGTCTACATGAACTACAGAGCTTACTGAGATATATGCTTACTATCGCTAAATACCACGATGAAGGTTGTGTGGTGACAGTGGCGTACTACCACACGCATGGTCACAGGTTCGGGTTCGAATCGCGGATCAGTAACCGCCTACACCGGTAAGACCATCCATTCACGTGGTCAGTAATTGATACCAGGTCGTCTGTGAGGGCATACTAGATCCATCTAGAAGGGTAAAAGCGTTGACTAGCGAAGACTTATACGGTTGGCTACCCAAGACTGTATTCTACATAAACGTTCATCGAGCAATTTTTGAATGGGAGTCGAATAAGCACATCCCTTAGAAGGGATTGATTAACTCCAAGAAACTTCAAGATTTTTATAGCTAGGTACCTGCATGATGCAACCCAGAAACTAAAGTGCTAGAGTAAGAATAATCAGAAAATTCGTTTTGGTGTTTAGGATAATTTAAACAGTAGGTGTAGTACAGGCGTGGTGTAGAATACGGCTGCGATTACTCATGCAAAGCTGATAGTAATAATAATGATATCCCATTTATAGTGGGACCCTAGAGCTATCAAATCCTTGCTCCGTAGAAGCTGCTCCCGCTCCCATCGAAACTATGCGTTTTATAATTTTTATCACTAATACCTGCAGTGCAGAACAGTTGCTGTGATCCTTTCAAAAAGTTGATCAAAGGTAGCTTAGGAGATTGGCAATAAAAAAGACAATAGTGCCCGCAAAGTAACTAATGTGCTTCTTTAGTACAATGTGTTCTTTAGCACAATGTGCCTTCTATTTCAGAGGTTGCTAAAGCTCCCAGTCGCGCTTGATCCGTCTGGGTATATTATGTTCCGGGGTATTTGAGACTCATCTCATCTCACGTATTTGAGTGTAGTCGCCGTCAGCTCAAGGAATAATAGGGATGATGAGGACAGGAAGGTGTCGGGCGGACCAACCATAAACTCATCGCGCAGTGCCCGTGTTCCTCCTGGCTTCGTCTCTAGGCCCGACACCTTCTATCATCTGCGCCTTGCCAAATCCCCATTGCGCCTCATCATCAGACTAATCTCATAGCCTATTACATTGATCTGATAACTTCGATCTCGGATTCATATGATGCAGAAGCACGGGGTCAGCCATGCGGTGATTCCGCACGCGACTTCTGATAGCAGCGGGTTTCGACAATTAGGATGTTAGGCAAAAGGTGAGTATTATCGTATTAGGTCTTTTAGGGTTTATCAAGAAAATGGGAGTGCGATAAACTTTGTTCCCTTAACTGCAGCCTTTTAACCTACTGTAAGCGTGAGCGCATCTCACAGCTTTGTCTTTCCTGTATGACTCAGTATTTCAGGGCGGAGTCTGCAAGCCGAAGCAAGGAGGGGCGTCTGGCGACAACGACACCGAGCGCCGTCGACTCCCCTACACCTTCTCATCCAATACCCATCATCATGCTCTTTCTCTAAGGGCGAAGCCCTCCATACGAAGAGCTGACTTTTACCGTGTTATCGCGTAGTAGTCTTTGTGTAACAATTTCTTTCCCATCCTCGTTTATGCGTTTATTGTGTCATGATGTAGTTACGAGATAACGCGGGTCATATTCCTTCTTTACTCTGTATTGATGCCTTAAAGATAAACTATATTAATCTGACGTCTCGCGTAACACGATATCAGCCGCTCCACTGGGCGCGCTCGCTTACTCTACTCAGGCGGCAGTCCCCTTCTTATCGGTTATGCTTAATTTTACTGGTTTACATTTTGTGTAGTTCATAAGTCGTTTTTTTCTATTTTCCCTAATGGCCTGATGACGTCGTTATGTCGATCGTGATTTCCTCTGTGAAGAACATTAAAGTGCCCAAACTGTTTCGATGCGAATTATATCTGATCAGTAATTGTGGAGCATACTTTTGCCTCGGGGCCTAATAGTCTTGAACAAGTGCATTCGTTTGAATTTTGAACAGAATGGAAAATTAAAGCGAGCCTTTTATTTCGGATGACGTTGATGCAGCACGTTGTGCTGAAGAAGCACATTGGTTGCATAGCGGGCGTCTATTACAGTTATCTTTTTAGTACCAATGCTCTAAGCTACGTTTGATCAACTTTTACGAAAGAATCTTGCAACTGTTCTTCACTGCAGGTATTAGTTAGGAAAATTATACCACGCATAGTTTCGATGGGAGCGTGAGCAGCTTTAACGAAACAAGGATTTGATGGCTCTTGAGTCCCAGTATGAATGGTATATCATTATTATTACTATCAGCTTTGCCTGAGTAATCGCAGCCATTTCCTATATTACGCCCTTAACCACACCTTCTCCTTAGATTATCCAAAACGAATTTTCTGATTATTCCTACTCTAGCACTTTAATTTCTGGGTTGCATCATGAATGGGACCGTCAGGTATCTAGCAATAACAGTCTTAAAGTTTTTTCGGAATTGATCAATACCGTTTAAGGGATCCGAACCCGTACTCGACTACCATTCAAAGAATGCTTGGTGATTGCGTATGTAGAATATAAAATGACTCGGGGTGTTTCTTGGACGTTGGAGACAATTTGGTCGGAACCGTTTATTGATAGACCAGTGCGGCTTATGTACCGCCATGTT